ATTCACTTCCCAAGTGACCACAACAGCCAGAGCTGTGCCGATCCAAAGCCAGAAGCCAGGAACTTCTTCCAGGTCTCCCACACGGGTGCAGGGTCCCAAGGCTTTGGGCTGTCCTCAATTGCTTTCCTAAGGCACAAGCAGGGAGCTGGATGGGAAGCAGGGCTGCAGGGATTAGAACCAGCACCCATATGGGATCCTGGTGCGTTCAAGGTAAAGACTTTAGCCACTAGGAAATGGTGCCGGCCCCTTGTTCTTTTGTTTAATATTTATTTATTTATTTTTGTGCTCCTGGTTTTTGTTCTACAGCACCAATGGGTGCTCTAGCCCTGCCTAGATTGACCCACCCTCCGTCCCAGCTCATACACTCATCAGTAGAAATCATGGCCCAGACTGGGAATCCCCAAAGTTACCCTACCAGGCCTGCTGCTAGCTCTGAATCTTGAGCACACCAGCAGGTACTGCAGCCCTGTCTGAGATGGTCCACCCCCGGTCTCAGCATTCAACAGCAGGTGCTACAGGGTAGCCCAACCTGGGCCACCTCCATCCTTCATGTGAACTGGTATGTGTTTTGGCCTGATCTGGCCTGACTTGCACCCCATCCTGGCTCTTCACTCATGCCGGTGTATGCTGTGGACTGACCCAGTCTGTCCCACTACGAGACCTTTCCAACAAGTATGCTGATGGTTGCCGCAACCAAGCCCAGCCCAGCCCAGCCCAGCCCAGCCTGCCCTGCCCCTCCCCTAGCCCTGCCTATCATGCTCACCAGTGGGAGCTGTGGGCTAGCAGGGGAGTTTCTCAAATTCTCCTAACAGGGCCATTTACAACCCCTGGATCTTGCACATGTTGGTGGGTGCTTCAACCTAGCCTGGCAGGGCCTACCCAGTCTCAGCACTCACTGGCAGATGCTGCCGCCTAGCCCAGCCCGAGTATGACCTACACTTGGTTCTTGCTCTCATGCATGCCAGCATTTGCTGTGGCCTGGCCCAGCTGGGTGTGCCTTCAGACCTGTCCCACACAAATGCTGATGAGTGCTACAGCCTTACCTGCCCAACCCCAGCCACAGCTATTGTGTTCCCCAGTGGAAGCTGCAGCATTGCAGGGAAGTTCCCCAAGTCCCCTTACAGACCAGCTCCCAGCTCCAGATCTCATGTGTACTGGCAGGTGCTGCAGCCCTGCTTGGCATGCTCTGCCCTCAGTCCTGGCCTTTGTATGTGTTAGTGAGTGATACAGCCTGAGCCAGCCATGCCTTCTCCCAGCCCCTGGTCCCACAAATATCACGTGAGTTCTGTTGTCTACCCTGAGTCAGCCCATCACCACCCACAGCTCTTGGGCAATGCAAAGGTTACTATAGTCCTACAGAGATGGGCCCACAAGTTCACTACAGAATCTGCTCCCAGATCCAGTTCTCTTGCATTAATGGCGAGTGCTGCAGCTAAGCCTGACATAGCTTATCCCTGCTCTGATACTCATGTATGGGTACTGTGGCCGAGCCCAGCCATGCATGCCCTCCAGCCCCAGATTTTGCATGTGCCAGCAGGTGGTATGCAGTGCTACTTAGCCCAGCTCAGGTCTGTCATATGGGCTGGTGCCTTGGCCTGACCCAGACTAGACCTTCGGCTTGCCCGTCTAAAGCACTTAGTCTCGGCATCCTCGCCCACCTGTGAGTGCAGTAGCCTTGTCTGTGGAAGACCCCAGAAGGCATTTGTTCACCGTTAAACGTGCTTTTAGCTACTCCTACTCCAATATGTCCCCAGAGCCCCTTCTCTGGGCAATCTGCAGCCTCCCTGCCTGGGTGCCGGGGTGGCATGCCCAGCCTGGTGTTCCCTGCTTTCCCTACATATCTTAAAAATAAATAGAACAGGCAACTGTGCTGACACACTTGTATAGTTATACATATTTGTCATTAATCAGGTCCAGAGTGCTTGCCAGCTGTCGGCTACTTTTCTCCCAGCAGTGTAACACTTGTCTAGGTACAATGTAACCTAGGCAGTTGCCTATAGCTGGGACAAATTAATTAATTGTTTAAATCATAGGAAAGCTGGGCAGGTATATAGGGCTCTCTTCCTTAGTCAAACTCAGCATCTATTTGGCCACATGCTGTTGAGAGTATGGGGCAAGTTGCAGGGCATCCTTGAGCAATATTTCTGCTTCTAGATTTCCAGCTGCTCAGAAAGTACATTTTTCTTCTACATTCAGGTTCTGAAAATTTAGTTTCCTTGACTGTTCTTTAGTGATTTCTATCCCAGCCCTATTGTGAACTGGTTGATATTGTGGTCCAACTCAGCTCATCCTGTACCCTGTCCTGGTTCTCACATCTGCCAGTGGGTGCTATGAACTGGCCCAGCCTGGCCTGCCCCCAGACCTGACCCACACATTTGCTAGTGGGTGTTGCATTTTTTTTAAGTTTCACGACATTGCCATTTTTGAATGATGTAGACCCATCCAAATTCCCCTAAACAATTTTAATTAAATAATTTTTCATTTGTTTTCACTCTCCAAATGCCAACAGCAGCTAGGGCTGGGCCATACTGAATCCAGAAGACCAGAACAAAATCTGCATCTTCTATGAAGGTGGCAGGTACACAAGTACTTGAGCCATCACCTGCTCTGTGTGTGTGTGTGTGTGTGTGTGTGTGTGTGTGTTTAAGAAGAATGTTTGAAGAGGCTTATAGATGGGGAGAAGCATAGAAGGCATCTTCTATCTGATTTACTCCCTGAATGGTTGCAATGATCAGGGCTGGGCAGGCCTAAGTTGGGAGCCAAGAGCTTTATCTGGCTCTCCCACCCTGATGGCAGGGGTCCAAACACTTGGACCATCTTCTTTTGCTTTTCTCAGCCATTATCATGAGCTGAATTAGAAGTGGAGCAGATGGGACGTGAGCCAGTGTCCATGCTGATGTTGCAGATGGCAGCTTTACCTACTGTGCTACAATGCTGGCTCCTAGAACATACTCTTTAGAATATGTTTATCAAAATGTTCCCTAGATTTAACATGCATTGTTGATGATTGCCTGAATCAATCTTTATTATAATTTTTCCAACTCTAACATTTCCCCATTTATCAGTCTTATTTTTTTTTAAAGATTTATATATTGGAAAGTCAGATATACAGAGAGGAGGAGAGACAGAGAGGAAGATCTTCTGTCTGATGATTCACTCCCTAAGTGAGCACAACGGCCAGAGCTGTGCCGATTCGAAGCCAGGATCCAGAAACTTCTGGGTATCCCACGTGGGTGCAGGGTCCCAAGGCTTTGGGCCGTCCTCAACTGCTTTCCCAGGCCACAAGCAGGGAGCTGGATGGGAACTGGAGCTGCTGGGATTAGAACCAGCGCCCATATGGGATCCTGGTGCATTCAAGGCTAGGACTTTAGCTGCTATGCCACGCGGCCGGGCCCTTTATCAGTCTTATGTTAACATTCTATAAGCCTGGGTTTTTACTTCATCTGTGTATATTATTGGTATGGACCCATTGCTATTTTTTTAATGGTTTATTGTTTGTATAATACTTTATTTTGATAGTCAAATTGTTCCAAATATGGTCAGTAGGGGCCATTTCAGTTTGTCTGCTGTATCCTTGTAGGGTGCCCTTGTAGTTTTTTTTTTAACATTTTCTTTCCAGAAAAAAAAAATTCTTGGTCCATGTCTTAGTTATTCTATCTTGACCTTGGAATTAACACTTTTTCCAAAAAGTTCTAGTTCCTTGTGGTGGATAATAATGTTTGTATCTCAAGGATTCAGGAGTTGATGTGTTACTAGTGTGTCTGCTTTTTTGCTTGTTCAGCAGAGAGAAATGGGAAATATGTTTCTTAGATGTGTACATTTACACATAGATATATGTATGGTTATATTTATGCATATACATACATACACACAATACATGTAAAAAGCACATACATGTACCCATACCTAAGAAATCATAGATTTGCACAACTCCAATTCCCAAAACATGAAACTTTCTTGCGTTCTCCAATCCATGTCTGTATATTTCTGCAGTGAGAACCCTGGTAGTCAAGAACATCAAAAGATTGTCTCAGCACTGTAATATGTCTACAATAATTTCAAAATTACTTTCTACTGTACTACTGTAACAAACCTACTAGAAAGAGTTGCAGATTTATTTTTAGGACCCTCCCCACCGCAAGCCCTCCTAATCAAGGGTATATAAATCAGTATCTAGTCACACACTGTATTTATAAGTTATGTAGATTGGTAATTTCTTCTCTGTGTTCTTTTTTCCCTTTATAGTGGATACAGTATCTTAAATATAATTAGATTCATGCCTCATTTTAAAGGTTTAGCTGTTAAATTTGTTTTACTGCCATCATTAACTGTCCTGTATCTCTCCTGATATCATTTTTTTCTTTTTAAAATATTTGTTAATTTTTATTTGAAAGTCAGATTTTATGGGGAGAGAAGGAAAATAAAAGCTCCTCTATCTGCCGGATCACTTCCTAAATGGCCACAATGGCCAGAGCTGATTAGATCTGAAGCTGAAAGCCAGGAGTTTCTTCCAGGTTCCCACATGGGTATGAGGGCCCAAGGGCTTGGACCACCCTCTACTGCTTTTCCAGACCATAAAACAGGGAGCTGGATCAGAGGTGGTATAATCTGGGCACAAACTGGCACCTATATAATATGTTGGTAATACAAGGTGCATTATTAGCCTGCTGTACCACCATATAAGCCCCTCTTACTATTTAATAAAGTCATTCAGGATTACAGTCTGTTGTGGATTCTCCAGAGCCCATGTTAATTAAATACCACTTCATAACATGGAATACTACCCTTTAAAAAAGATTTGTGTACTGCGCAACTCCAGGGATTGTCTGCTGCTTTTACTGTGGCTGGTTGACACAGTGCTATACTGGTTATGAGATATTTAGGTTACCATTCTGTGAACAACAAAAAAAGGTGGGGATGTGAGTTAGAAATTGTAAAAACCACATTTGGATAATTTGTTATATTCTTCAAGCGACTACATTTCTCCCTTTTGTTCATAGGCTTATCCATTTCAGTTTGTCCAGTCCAAGAGGGGAGATGAGTTTGCAAAACATGCTTCCAAGAAAGCAAACAAGAATATGTCTCTTAGTACGATGAAAAGCAGTAAGATGAATTCTGACAGGTGAGTAAGAGTAGGCTCAGATGTTTTAGATGATGAAGGAAAGTGTGTGACATCTTTTTGATCCTGTTTTGTCCTTGTTCAAGCTATGTTTAGTGAGTCACAGTGGTGACTGCTGCGGTAACCCCGAGTGCTGCGGTGGACCCAGCTGTAGAGGTTGAAGGGTTACAGACACCCCTCTCATTTTCATGGTGCGTGTACACATATTGAAAGAGCTGATCTCATCAAGCAATTCATCAAAAAACCTTGCACTTAGCTTTTATGTCTCTTAGTAATTTAGTCACTGTTTGAGAAGGTCTGGAGACAGCTTAAATTTCCTGGGACTCTAAAGTTGCTGGCTGACAGCTTGGTATTTTGCTTATTCCATCAAAGGTTTTCAGGGAGATTTGTCCCTTATTATTAGAGACACTACTATTTCTCTAGGTCAAAAATATGTGTCTTCCAGATGTTAGAGATAACTGTTCACAGTTATACAAGTAAAGTTGACAATTTCTATCTAGTCTTGGAAAAAAATTACCTCCAAGAAAACTTTTATAGGAAGAAGATTTAGAAAACGAGCCAAGACTCCCTGTATCCTCTCTTTATTCTAATGAGAACGAGTTTGTTTATTTATTTATTGATTTTTGAGTGTGGCCAACTTGCAATGGGATAGGTTAGACAGAAGGCTATAATACGGTTAGGCATAGGCTCCAAGGGGTAAGGTAAAAAAGATTGGATTCATTTATTCCAATTGTACAGATTAAGTCATTAAACATATAAAAGGCTTTTGAAAATCACTGAGTTAAAAGACTCCATTTAAAATAGAATCAATGTAACATGCAACTCATTTTCATCTTTTATTTTTATATTTTTCTTTAAGAACGGAACAAATTTTTTTCATTCTAAACAGATCAATGAATATACCTTCATTAGAGCTCATGAGAATTGAACTTATTTATTAATAAATATGTAAGAAAGTTGATAAATTCATGTATATAAAAACAACTAACCAAAAACACAGACAAGAAAAGTTTAAATATTAGTAGTTATTTAAAATTAAGTCACTCTTTCAATATCAGTGCCTCTGGACTGATTAACCCAAAAAACTATCATCTTTGAACAAGAAGCAAATTATCTAGAATAGTTAGATACAAAGATTAGCATTTATCTGTACATGATTTCCTGCTGAAATGGAATTCTATGGGTTTGCATGCATATTTGACCTTAGTTTATTGCATTATTTTCTTTGGAATTACCTTCACATTTTCGCTTTAGCAGGGAAACACTCTTTATTGTAGAAATTGCCTTGACTCTAAGTCCACCTGAATTATTGCCCTTATACCAATGCTGAGTTCTCTATGCAGAAATGTCTGTTTATTTAGATCTCTAATTTGTTTTAATTTTTTCTAGTTTCCAGAGTATAAATTTCATAATTGTTTTATTGAATTTTAAAGTATTGTGTTTTTCTTGACAATATTGTAAATGAAATTATCCAGTTTCATCCTTTATTTTGGTGGATGCCTGGTGCCAATAGACAAAGACAAATAAATACAGCTAGTAAGGAAGACTGATATATAAGCAGATAATTCATACAATGTGATAAGTATTATAATAAAAGCTTTTGAATGCAAGTGAAGGTAATAAATCATATATGAGAAAGCATAATGTGGGTTTCACAAGAAAATGTATAGAAAAATATTTAGACCTAGACATAGAAACTATATAGTGTGCTAGGTATTTGATACACAAAGATAGCCATTGATATTTTAGGTTTTAAACTACTGCTTGAAGTGAAAGCCCTTTCCCCTTCCAAAGCTTTAATGATGACAGCAAATAAACAGTATGGTGGGTGAATACTGTTGATGATCTATATTTCTTACCTGGACATATGAATTGTTTTTCTTTATAGATATAAATCAAAACCCTTGGCAGTAGTGTCTTCTACCCCACCGTTAAAAAATAAGGAGAAACTAGACATTTTGGAAAGAGCCACCATCTCTAAAGTACCTGAGGAGACATGTGTCCTCAAAGGAACATTAACTACCGAACGTATAACCTTCATTAATGACCAAGAGTCATCCTGTATAAAGAGAAAAGTTGCAAGTCATAAGAGAATGTCCGTATTTCAGAAGTCATCCCCCTCTCAAAGAGGCACTGACCGTGAAAATAATGTTAATATGGATGTGGCGACAGTTGACAAGAAAAGTAAAACCAAGAAGACAGCTAACACCAAGAGGACATCATCCCCAGAGGAGAAGACATTTATACCTGGGATATACAAGTTCGACCTGAACGATTTCCTTTGCAATTCAGACAGTAGTGAAGATGAGTTCATCTTCACATCGAAGTCTCGGAAGAAAGCTAAAATGGAAAAGCCAACCATAAAGCCATTATCCTCAGAGACGTGTACCCCTCGAGGGAACACATCCCAAGTGAAGCCACAAGTATCACAGCAAGTCACCTATGCAAACAAGCCACTCCCTAAGGAACCATTGTCCCTTAAGAAAAGAAAGCCTGCCCCTGAGAAGGAATCCCCTTCTCAGGGATCATGTGCATTGCAGGAGAAGCACACCAATCAGAAGGCACGAATGTACAAATATTACATCTTCCAAGATTCTCCCAGTGATGAGGAGTCAGTTTCTCAGAAGGTTTTGGTTCTTGATAAAGAGGCTGCCCCCACAAGTGATAAACTTCTGAGGAAGTGCAAAAAGTATCGCAGAAGGGTCGCGATCCATTGCGAGCCACTAGAATCGCAGCCGGTTTGTCCAACTACTGAGAAGAAAACTCTCAGCAAGATGCCGTTATTGTCAAATCAGGAGCAAGTCACACAGGAACAACTGTCCCCCTTAAAGAAACGGCGGCAATCGCAGAAGGGCGCCTTTAAAGAAGAGTCAATGCCTGAGAAGTTGCCCTCTAAGCAGCAGTTTTCCAATGCAAGGGAATTTCTCTTAAAAGACCCACCTACCCTGAAAGAGAAGAAGACCACCACAGATGAACCATCATATGTCCAGGAACCACTGACCTGGAAGACAAAGCCTACTGGTGATGAGATATATTTCAGTCCAGAGCTGTTTTCACCTCCTATGTCTCCCTACAAAGATGAGTCCTTCTCCCGGGAAACTTTGCTTTTGCCAGAGAAGACAGGTACCAAAGAGGACTCTTTCAATAAGCAGTTGATCTCGAAAGGCCAGAACCTCACTGAAGAAGAGTCCTTTTTCAATAAGCTCTTGGGTTTGAAAGAGCCCTCCACTGGGGCAGCAATGAGCACAGAGAGGCAATTGTCTTCAGAGAAGAAGTCTACCACTCAGGGGGTGGCACTCCTCATGTCAAACCAGATGACCAAGCCTGAGAGCATCACCGATGGCAAAGAGTCTTCTGCTAAGCAGCCACTGGCCTTTAACCATGAGAAGCAGCCTCCTTTGCAGGATAAGCTGCCACCTGATGAAGACAACCTCTCTCAGGGGCCCTTGATCTTTCGGGAGATGGCAAGAGTCTATGAGACTCCGATGAGGAAGCCCTGTGCTTCACAGAGCAAGTCCAGCAGCGAGTCAGAGAAACGGCACCAGCAGTGCTTGTCCTTCCAGGAACTGTTTGGATTTGATGAGGAATGCCTGTCTCAGGGACCTGTACTACTTGAGGACAGGGCAAGAATGAGGGGGGTTGTTGTGGATGAGCCCTTGAGTGTGCCAAAGACACCCAGCCTGCGCAAGGAAACACCTAGTGAGAAGCAGCTGTACTTTCAGGAGAAGCTCCTGCTTGAGGAAGATAACATCTCTCAGGAGCCCTTAATCTTTCCAGAGGCAGAAGCAACTGATGAGGCTGCCAAGTGTGAGCCCTGGACTGTGTCATGGGTATCCAGCCCCAAGGGGGCTTGGTACAAACAACAGCACGCATTGGATGAGAAATGCCTCCCTCAGGGATCCGCACTATTTGAGGATAGTTCGACAATGAGAGGGATTATTCTGAATGAGCCCCAGACTGTTCCCAAGACACCCGGCCTGGATTATGAGACATTCAGCAAACAGCAGGCATCCTCTCGGGAGAAGCGCTCTCCTGAGGAAGATAGCCTCTCTCAGGTGCCCTTAATATTTCGGGAGATGGCGAGAACCAATCAGGCTACCGTGAAGGAACCCTGGGCCATTCAGCAGAAGCCCAGCACTGAGAAGGCTACACTGAAAGAAACCGTAGCCTTGCAGGAAGAGCCTGCTGTCAATAAGCTATGGCTTCTCGAAGAAGCATCAGCCTTGAATGAGAACCCCATTGCTAGGAAGAAGCTGTTATTTGAAGACCCAATGGCTGTGGCAGACGAATCTATCTACAGAAACGAATTCTTTCTCAAAGCACTCTTTGCGATGCCCACTGTCAATTCCAGCCCTGTCTTTGGATCCACCGTGTTTGGTGGGGACAAGTCCACTGTCACCAGGAAATCTAGTGTGTGGGATTCTACTCCCGACACACTTGGCTCATCTCATGAACAGAGAACACAGATACAGGTATTAATCTCTTTTTTTTTCTCGAATAAGGTGAAATGTTTTTTGTTTTCCTGTGGTGACTGCTAACAAAGAGAATTATTTTTTTTTTCTTTCTGAACAATTGAACTATTTACAAGTAATGGAAAATCTGACTATATCATGAGCAAGTGATATTTCTTGGGCCTACTTTGAGTAGATGAAAAAAATATCTTCTCACATTTTATAGCCCAAGGACACACACAATATGGGATACATTTAACAGGCTCTTTGGTGGCATTTTTCTGTTAAGTTGGCCTTGTAGAATCTTTTGACTTCCTGATTGGTGTAGTAATTGGTCAAGCAATCAGAAACTATTTATTCCAAGAATACACACAAGCGTATGGAATACTGTGCTGTATAATTGAGCTTTGCAATATGGGCTAGATCATTTCATTCAGGAAACTTACTCATCTCAGTCTCCAACATGATAGGCTTTAGTCAAAAGTAAACAAAATTCACAGGGGCCTCTCCCTGAGGCAGGTAATATTTAAGTTGCAAATTAAAAGAGGGAAGGGACGAAAGTTAACAAAAATGAGAAAATGTTCATTCTGTGGGCAAAGCAATCTTAGTAGAAGTATAGAATACAGGACAAAACTACCAGGAAGATGAATTGGGTCAGAGACTCGGAGGCTAAGAAGACAAGTGATCTAGCTGAAATGTAATAAGAATTTTTTAAAGCTTATCTGCAATATGAATGCCTTGTTACTAGAGTATAACAGGCATTTCTTGTCACTTGATATGAGGATTTCGGGGTCAGCGGCTGGTTTGATAAGGCCTGAAGAACTGTAACAAATGACAGCGGGGAGGAAAGTGTCATCTTTGATGTATATGTGTTAATCCCTATTTGGAATCGTCTCCTAATGTGTCTCAATGATTTCCAAGATGATGAAGAGCCTGATGGAAGAGGCGAACAGATATTACAATGATCCATTCCTCAACTCAGCATATGTTAACGATATCTTCAATTACTTGAAGGAGAGAGAGGTATGTAGGTGGCTGTGGGTATGTGATGATTTCTAATCCTCATTTTTTCACCACTCCATCTTTCAGGCATACTTGTTGAAATAAGATGATGAGAATTGCAATGACAACAACCAATATCTGTTAATAGCTCACTGTGAGTTATACAGTGTGCTAAGGTATTCAGAAATTGTCTTGACAATTCTCCAGGTACCTTTGTGCTGGTAGGTATTATTACCTCCCTTTTACAGACAGGGAGGACTTCCCAGAGGCACAAAAAGTATGTGGTTAAGCCGATCACCTTGAAGACTGTATTCCTGTAGTCTAATTGCTGTGGATATGGTCTGAGATACAACAACAGCAGCAGCAACAACAACAAAAACAACACACACACACACACACACACACACACACACACACACACACACACCCTAAACCAAACCAAAGCAGTCGACTAGTCTCTTTCTGCGTGACTACTCTTAGGGACTTTTTCCTTTTCTATGCATGCTTTTGGCACGTTATGTAAAAGTACATCCTTCATTTAAGTACTTTGACATGGAGAAGTTTTCTTTCTCTTTTGAATTCTCAGTGTCTCTTTCACCACTGATATCATTCAATTTCAATTTTCAGTCTGTCTTAAAGCAACAGACAGGACCAAAATTGTCCACCAGCTAGAACTTTTATCAGCTTGTGGATAGGAGGCAATGCATATCTTTAGATAGAGTGATTAATTGTATTACCCTAAAATTTTTTTGTTTCTTTTAAAAATGCTTATTTTTCTTTATTTTTTTTTCTGAAACAGAGGAAGGAGGAAAGGAGAGAGAGAGAGAGAGAGAGAGAAGAGAGAGGGAGTGGGAGAGGAAGTGAGAGGGAGCTTCCATCTACTGGTTCACTCCCTAAATGCTCACAACAGCCTGGTTTTGGGTCAGGTTGTATAGGGGCCCAAACTCAATCTGAGTCTCATATGCGTAGTAGGGACTCAAATACTTGAGCCATCATCCGCTGCTTCCCAAGGCTTGTTTGGTATCTGATCTGCCTTATCAGATACCAAGTGAAAATGATGAGAGAATCATGAGGGAGAAGTTCATTGTTAACTTGCAATTTTGAACAACAGGAAGAGTTATATATAACTTGCTTTCTCATTGTTTATAGGAAATGTTCATACTTACAAAATATATGAGCTGGCAGCCTGAGATCAACAGTGATATGAGAGCCATTCTTGTGGACTGGTTGGTAGAGCTACAGGTAAGCCTTAACATCCTTCTATTCTTTCTTGATGCATAGTTCCGCAGGACTAGGTCAAAATAAAGGTTAAAATTCACTGAGTCTGCTGAGCTAAAGGAACAGGGGTTATCATTCTCAAGGAGCTTACAGTTTATAGGTAAGAAAAGACATACAGTCAACTAAATGTAATTACAAGGAAAATGTAGCAAATAGTCTAAGAATATTATAAATAAAATCTGTGTGAACCTGGGTGGTGGTGGGAGTGAGACTTTCTAGAACAGGCAATGGTGATATGGTAGTTTTATCTTTCTCTATGTCTTGTAAAAATGTATCCAAGTGATATGAATTGATGGTGACATGCTTTTTCAAAGTTGGATTGAATGGGTGATAGGAAGGACAGTGTGGAAGCAGAAATTCCAGGGAGCTGTTTGTCTGGGATTGGATACTGAGTGAAAACTGCTGTGGGTTTGTAATTGTGATTTTATATTAAGGAAGGAGAGCCTAGAATACTGTCTGGCACATAGTAAGGAGTCAGTAAATGTTTGTTAAAAATAATGGAATTGAATGAATTGCTGTGATGTTTACAAGGAAGCTGTGCCTACTAGCATGCTCTTGCTATATAATTGACAGCAAAAGATAATACAATTTTATCTCTTTTATGGAGTACCACGGAAAGTAGTTCAGGTTCATTTTTGAGTAATAGATTGTGGAAATGTAATAAACAAAATTTCAACATCAACAAAGCATGGAAATGTCTCTTATGGAAAGGATAAAGAGTGATTTGCGAAGGCATGACAAGGATAAAAAAAAGAAAAAAAAAGGAGGTTGTACTGCTAATGCTTAACTTCCATTCTGGCTTCTCTAATCCTCCAGCTCACGTCTAATACTTGTTCCCAATCTGTGTATCCTAATAATTATATCTAGTTGGGAAATGAGGCTATTAAGTGATCAATCTAATAACCACATTTTTGTATTATACAGCTAAAGAATATAGAGCTAAAGAGACATCTCTTTGGGGAGCTCACTGTACAGGTTAACAGCAAGTGGGGAAAGTGAGAATGAGTCTTAGACATCAAAAGAACGGGGTGTGTCCACTCAAGGTGTTCACAGAAAAAACAGAATGTCCCTCTCTGGTTTGAGGATCTGACCATCCACCTGGATGTGTAAAGATAAGTAATGCCAGGCTCCTAAAAGGGACAAGAGATTTTGCATCTCTAGCAGTCTCTAACTGGCTGGGTTGATCTTGAAGCTGCAAGCAGCCTTGGCAGCTAAATTTGTCGGGAGGTGGCTGTGGTTTGGGACAGTATACAGATTCCTGACCTGTTCTGTGCATTCTTCCAGATAAATTTTGAGACAAGTCATGAGACCTTGTACTTGGCAGTGAAGCTAGTGGATCACTACCTAAATGAGGCAATATGTGAGAAAGACAAGCTTCAGCTCCTTGGTTGTACTGCCTTTATGATTGCAGCAAAATTTGAGGTAAGCCCAAGTTCCTAAAGTCTGCAGAGAAATAATCATGTTGCTATCCAAACCAGTGAAATAGACAGATAAAGCAGAAGCATATATGTATATAAACATAAATATATATGTATCTATACATATGTATGTAAGCATGTAAGCACATGTGTTTACATTTGTGAATGTGTACCTGTGTGTATAAAATTACATATTTACATACAAAGATTTTTTTTCCTGTCTTCTGTCTCCCCCAAGCAGGGCAGCTGGTGTTGGTTGGCAGCGATGGTGTATTTGCTGCTGGCTTCATCAAAGTTCTCCTGTTACTTCGTGGAAGATGTGTTGTCTGAGCATCTGCCTAGTTAAAGGAGTGGTTTTTATTATGGCCTCCTTCCAGGCCGTGGTTTTCTGCCCCCTATTCTTTTCTTGTTGTACCAACTCCATCCCCATCTATTTAGTGGTGTCCTGATCTGCATTCATTATACAGCAACTGGAAGCCAGAGTGCTAAACACAATGTATGACTTGGGTAGTGAGTGTATAGAGTCCAGGTACGATTCAGTTTTGAAATAGCAGTGTGAAATCCAGTAGGTAGCCTTTCTTCCTAATTGTGAAGCAATAGTGGGGAATCTGCCCCCCCCTTTTTTGCCTAGAGCATTTGGCTATCTATAATATCATTCAGAAGGCCATACAAAATTGTCAACGTAAAAATTAACCTGCTAGATATGTAGTGAATTCTTTGAGTCCCATCAGAGTTTGCTTGGGCAAGGTCTTACACTCTTGCCTGGGAGCTGGGTGTTCTCTACTCAGCCAGCTAACTTCTGATTCTTTCTCTTTCCCTAGATGGAAAATGGCCTCTTTCAAGTAGTCTTACTTTTCTTCCACCTAAGCTAATTGTGTTGAAACCTCAGGGCTTGGGAGCAGCTTTTGCTAAGGGACCCAGATAATCTTGTGGACAGTGTGTGTCCTGGCTCCTTCCTTCCATCACTCTCTAGTTTACTGCCCTCCCTCCCTAGCCTCACTGCTTCCTCCTTCCCTCCCCAGTCCACCTGTTCCCTCTTTCCCTCCCTCCCTCCTTCTCTCCCCACCTCCTTCCCTCCAGCTCCTGTGCTCCCTCCCCTGCTCCCTAAGCTGCATAGTGCTCACTGTGTCTCCCTGTTCTGTTCTCTCTCCCTTGGCTCTCTCTGTACTTTTCTTCTATCCTCTTCACAGTCGCCCTACTCTCTCCCTCTCCTCCTTCTTGCCTTGTGCTCTTCTTGGCCTGTTGCCTGCTCTCCTCATAGTCCTGCTCTCAGTCCTCCCCTCTCAACACTCTCCTCCTCACTTATTCCCCCTGCTGTCTTCTTCTTCTCTCCTCATGGTGCTTCCCAGCTTTCTCCTGTTTTTTTTTTTTTTTCAGAACTGTTGTGTGTTATGGCAGTGTCCCCCACAACCCCTGCAATGGGCTTTCCCTACCCATTGTGGAGTACAGTTCACGCTTTCCTTCTCTCCCCTGCTCCAGCTCTTCTGGAGCTCCTCTGCCTTCCCAGCTCTCTCCATATTTGTCATTGCCCTGGCTCTGGTGCTCTTGTTTTCCCCACACTTGCACTGCCCAGCCCCCCTTCCCCACCTCACCTCTGGGCCTTCCTTCCAACACCTGTTCACTCCTCTTCTCCCTAACTTGCTTCCTTCCTTCCTCTTCCTGTCTCTCTAGAAGTAGCTTTCCCTGTAGCAAGAGTACACTCTAGGCTTCAGCCTCTGTGGATGTTACAAGCACAGCTTAGGGCGGGGGGGTGGGATCTGGGGAACCTAAAGAGTAAAGGAGGGCAGAGGAAGAAATGGGGGTTGCTTTACAAATCTTGGGAGCCAAGAGCACAACTCTTCTGCTGTGCAGGACAGAGGAGAGTGTCGTCTCCCAGTATTGAGAAGTACAGGAAGATGTTGCTGAGCGGAGGTATAGGAATAGAACGAGAGGCATTGAAAGGGAGGAGTGGCTGGCAGGCAGAGCTGTGACAGGGCGAGACTCATGCCTTGCAAGTGACATTAGCTTACTGCGCAAATCTAAGCAAATCATTTTCCCTGTGTGGGTCTCAACTCCTTTGTTGTACAAATCAGATGATTTGTTCAATCAGAAATAAAAAATTGGAGAGGGGAGGGGTAGAAGGAAGCCTTGGGTGAGTAGTGAGCTTCAGGTAACAAAAACAGTCAGGGATCTGCTTCCCTCTTCATGATCTCCCCCAAATCAAGAGAACAGGGCATGGACAGGTGCTTTCAGGGGTTACTGTTCTGCCTGGCCTTTCCCTGTCACCTCCCCCTCCCATTCATATACTGTCCACACTAGCTGACCTTTGTCCTTGCCTAGCTTTCTGCTGTGCTTGTCTGCTTCTCTGCACTCTCGTACCCTCCCCAAGTATCATTTCTCCTTGCTTAAACTACAACACAAAGTGCAGACTTGCTTTCCAGCCTAGCTGCCTTTTTGTGGCCTCCTTCCTTGCCCAGAGCAGAACTTCCGTTAGAGCTTCCATTTCTGGTGCTCAAGTGCTCATAGTGAGCCAAATTCTTGTTGATGTGTAATATGCAAGCCTGGTAGAAAGAGTGCTCTCTGAAGAGAAAAGCCTTCAAGGTTTCCTACCCCCATGAAAATGAAATATTTGATTATTTTTCTCAATTTTATGAAACATTGTCCAGAAGCCAGTTTAGAGGACTTTGAATTCTTTGGTGATATGTAACATCAACTGAAGTAGAATACATACTCTAGCAAAGGCAGCCCCTCTGCCCAACTACTCCTAACCTTAGCGATCGCAGGTCCTGTGCCCTGCTATTATAAACTCATCCTGACACTGTGAAACTCCAACCCAAGAGGCCCTATCCTCTGTTGGGCAATGATGAACTTTTGGGACAGGCCTCTTCTCTACTTTGGCTCTCTCTCTCTCTCTCTCTCTTTCTCTCTAAGAAGTCATCAACCAGAAGCTGGCCCTCGAGGTTTGTGTCAGGAAATGTGGTGGCCTGCTGTCTGCCCTTCTCCCCTCTGCTTTTCATTGTTAAGCGGAGAGGAGACAGCTTTCTGCGTGGTTATGACTGTTTCTCCTCTCTGCTCATAGGAGACCTCTAACCTTTGTGTGAGTGACTTCCTGTACATCTGTGATGATAGTTATGTGCGAAATGAGATACTTGCCATGGAAGCCTGTATCCTGAAAACCCTCAAATTTGACATCAACATCCCTACTGCCTATCATTTCCTGCGAAGATATGCTAGGGTAAGAGGGAAGAAGGTGCATCTTCATTCTCCCACTTCTGAGGTAGTATCCTCTATACTTAGAGTGGCTACATGGGTGGGAAGAAGAGGGAAAGGGACAGCTGGGATAAGGGATTTTTCTCTTTCTATGCAACCTGCTAGACTTCAGGTTACTGCGGGTTGGCAGTCTTTATAAATTAGTGCAATTGAGTGGGCAAGTTGTGGATTTCCATGGTGTGCCTGTAAGATTTTGAAGTGAATGCAGTGCAAGAGAATGAAAAAATAAGCTGTTTTGACATGTACTATAGCCACCTCAGAATTTTTTTTCAGGAGCGGGTGGCAGGTGGAGGGGGAGCTGCTGCAATGTTTCATTGCCTGAGTGTATGTTATGGGAAGTTCACTTTATAATTGTTCACAGTATCCTACAAGTGAGTTTTTCATCTCTTTTTCCTATTTATAATATTTTTTTCAAGTTTAAACAATAAAGGGTTGTTTTGGAACATTCCTAGAATAGAACAACTGGGGGACTTTGGCTCTCCAAAAGACAGCAGTACAGAAAGGGGAAGTGGCAGGACACACTTGGTGATAATATGCTTAGCAAGACTAAAGGTGGTGAGCCCCATGCTGATTTTAGAATCCCTCTGCTCTTTCCACATGGGGAGTTTGTGCTTTTGCATGCAGGGATCTTAGATTGAGGCATGGGAACAGGAAATCATGGCAGTTCTGCCAGAGAGCCATTTAGTCTGGGTGTGGAATAAACATGGAGAGAGTCTTCTACTTGGTGCTGGTTTTCTGAACTGTAAGTCCGAGCCTGTCTTCTTCCTGCCTTTAGTGTATGAAGGTCAGCATGCGGACACTGACCTTGTCCCGCTTCGTCTGTGAGATGACCCTGCAGAAGTATGACTACGTTCAGGAGAGGGCCTCCAAGCTGGCCGCAGGTGCCTTACTCCTCGCCCTTTATATGAAGAATCTCCGAAGCCTGGTAACACCTGTGGGAGTGGAAAGGGAGGGGGAAGGGACAGGAGGCTGTGGGGAGCACTGATGTGGCCACAGTTATGAATTCTTACACCTGGACAACTTAAGGGCAAGGGTTGCTATAGCAATGGTTTGATATATTTTGTTTTTCTTAGTCACAGGGACCTTTGTTCCAAAGAAACCTTATCTGAAGCCCCAAGGTTGCTACACAGACCAATATGAAATTATGCTGGTGGTCGCAGATGTTGAGTGGCCCCATGTTGTATCCCTGTTCTATCCACTCTTGTGCTACACCCCTTAGCGAGATTTACCTCTGAGGGAGTTCACCGGAACAGGATCTGAACAGCACTGATTCTGCAGCATAGTGAAGCGGTCATCTGTGTGTATCACAGGGCACTCAGGGCATGAACTACAGTGTTCTTTGAAGAGAAAGGTTTGGGAGACTTCTCCCCAATACGAGTAAGAGTCATATTTGACTCTTTTCTGTTTTATGAAAAAGTATAGTTAGAAACCACTTAGAAGACTTGGAATTTGTATTGATGTGTAATATGCAACCCAAGTAGAAGAAAGAGTGCATTACCCCTCTGCCCAGCCACTCCTGAACCCTTCCTAGAAATCCTGGGGACAACCTAGTTGTGCAAACTTGGAGGAGACATGCTGAAATTCCTTGGAACAGAACTTTTTGGGGAGTCCTCATATTTTAGCTGAGAGGGAATATTCAGATAGGGGCATCAGTGAGCATTGAAAGGCTGAGCTATCTCAGTGCCGATGGGAACATTTGCTGCTTGGTCTGGGACAGTGGTTTCCAAACTTCATTCAGGGGAGCCCTGGGTTTCCTGCAGATGTGCCTCAAGGACCACGTAAAATGTAAAGGGACCCGAATTGATGGGCTTCTTAGCTCCACTCCTCCCCCAGCCCCACTTCCAGGTGACATACTTGGAAAAAAAAATGGAGCTGAGGAGAGATAAATTTGGGCCAGTTTTAGAAAGCCCATGGCTTCTCAAAGGTAAGCCATCTTTGTTTTTTTTCCTCTGCCCATGGGGTTTTGCATTTCACGTTCAACTCCAAATGGAGGTGCTCCTTCCTCTGTGAAGATTCCTGTGGCTCTCACAGTCAGAACTGTAAATTCTGCTGCTCTATTTCTTCAGTGTCCACACTCATATCCATCATATACGTTCTGAGACTCTCACTTGCATGTCTGCCTCCTCTGCTGTCACCACATACTCCTCCAGGGCAGGTGCTTTATTCATTCATCTCTACTCCCCTAGCATCCCACACAGTGATATCATTCCCAGTTGGCGTTTTGGGGGGGGGGAGCTGTGTGCTGGGCTCTGTTCTATGTGTTTAGCATGTACAGTTGGCCTTCTATACTCATGGATTTGTGGAGAGATAATGTTTAGAAAAGAAGTTACACCTGTACTAAACATGTACAGATTTTCCTTGTCGTTATTCTGTAAATGATACAATATGCAGCTATTTACACAATGTTTACATTGTGTTCATTATTATAAGCAAACTAGTAGACATTTAAAGTATATAGTAATATGGATGTAGTATATAGGAAGATGGTTACACAAGTGCTACACTATTTTCTATAAAGTACTTGAATGCAATTTTAGCATCAGCAGGAAGTTCTGGAACCAGCTCCTCATGGATGCTGAGGAATGACTGCATATTAACTCCTCTAATCCTATGATGTGATTACTAAAATGGTCCCTGTTTGATGAATTGGGGAAACTGAGGCATTAAGATGTTAAATAAGCAGTTCAAGTCCATGCTGTCAGTAGAATTGGATTTTGAACCGAAGCAGTCTGCTTCCAAAACTTTTGCTCTAAAGCACTACCAGGTTGCTTCTGCTACATAATAGCATTTTGAAAGTTGAGTGTGAAAATGAACTCATAGAATGATAACTGTTACAATCTGAGGGAGAAAAAGTGTTAAGTTTCTAGTGGATGTTGAATTGAAGCCCTAGGTTTGTCAAAGGTTTGCTTGGTTGTTGGCCTTGAAATAAGTTAGCCCTGAAATAAGTAACTTACCAAGTTATTCCTCTTCTTTAGGTCTTTGGTAGACCTCATCTTACATGAATACCAGTGACTATGGATAACATCCAGCGGTTCATATGAATATAGCCATCCAAATGATTTGGCTGTAATCTATTCTTCTAGATAATACTTTATAATGATCAATGTACTGTGATGACTCAAAATGTTTTCAATGTCATCCCTGCCTAAGCATGGATAGGAAGTTTGAACTTGGGACAGCAGAACTGGAGAAAAGAGTTTGCTTCCTGTCATGAAAATCACTGTTTATGGTGTTTCTTCTAGGCTCCTTTCCTAGAATTTCACAGTGGCTACAAGGTCTCTGAGTTATACCCCTTGGTCAAGCAGCTGAATGGCACACTGACACTCCATTTTCGTGACAAGCTCAAGACGGTGTATTCCAAGTATTCTCAGAAGTAAGTACCGACGCCTGGTTTTGATGCTAAGTTTCTGTTTGTCATTGGGGACACTTTAAAACACCAACCCCAGACTAGCCTCACTTCAGAGAGAAAGAGTCAGAAAATTGTCAGCTTCTCTATGCCATTGTAAAGGGGAGCTAGGAAATCGAGGGCCCCATCGCTCACTTGTTCCATAGAGTGCATTTGGCTTTGGCCTGTTTTACCCTGAGTATACGCTCTTTCTTTTGCAGGGATTTCTTTGAAGTCTCCAAAATCCCTCCTTTGGAAATGTGCACGCTGGAGAAGATTTTCAAAGGCTAATCGTGCTGAGGGTGTGGTATCTGGCAGCTGACACCAGGGCCAGACAGATGTGTAAATAGGCTCTATTCTGATTGAATTTGTCTTTTAATCAATGTTTCTGGTCTTATTTTTGTGTTTGTCTTCTGAACTGAAAATATAAATACTTTCATGTTTAAGCATAAAAATAATTAAAAATGAGTGATAGTTATTAAAATGGCTGACTCCTACTTTCTGATTGCTTAGGAATTCCACTTGCAATCCAACAAATTTTTCTTCCTGCGTTAGTAAAGGCTGTGCATCAGGGTCCAGCTTAACGCAGTTTCTCCTGTAGTTGAAGGCTTTCTCTTGCAGTGAAGAGGAATTGAGCTGAGTGTGATTTGATGGGTATGCCTGTGGGAGGGTTTTGAGGCAGGTTACAGTGTTCAGTGCTAGTGCAGCTGATACTACAGGCTAATACTCTTTGTTCTAATCTCAGGTATTTGCTTTCTTTGCTTCTTCCCAGACGATAAGGCAGGGACCAGGATTTTAACCCAAACACACTCTACTTTCATAGGTAGGTTGCTTGGAGTGATATACTGAAATCCCTGATTTGGCTTTTATGCCAAGAGGAGACATCGCTATCCACAAAATTGGCAAGGTGCCCCATAAATGCAAGTAACCACCACTTGACCCATTTTCATGTGCAAAGCCTCAGGAGGTTCTGGGGTGATGGATACTGGGACAGTTACTGCAGATGTTGGTAGAGAGATGAGTGTCCTCTGTGCTAGTTGTTCAAGAGCCACGGCCTCAGTTCCACCTCCAGGACCTCTACAATTCACAAGTAGTATCTGCCACAGCAGATAGAGAGGGAGAGACAGAGACAGAAAAATCTTCCATCTGCTGCACTGTTACTTGCAAATAGGTACAATAATTGGAACCCTGTCAAGCTGAAGCCAGGAACTAGGAACTTCATCCAAGGCTCTCACATGTGTGCCAGGGGCCCAAGTATTTGGGTCATTTTTTGCTGATTTCCCAGAGCATAAGTTAGCAGAGAGGTGGAGCCAAAGTAGAACAGCTGAAGTTGAACCAGCACTCTTACATGGGGTGCTAGCATTGCAAAGAGTAGCTTAACTTGCTGCCCAACAGTGTTGGCCTCCAGGACTCTAGCATTATGTCTTGCAGCCATCCTGATTGGTCTCTGACCATTTGTTACAGTGTCAGACATTTGAAAATACCAATTCTAGGGGTGGACATCTGGTAGAGGGAAAAATGGCTCCACAATCATGGCTGAGACTCTCCAGGTTATTGTGGTTACATCTTTTCTTTTTTTTTAAAGATTTATTTTTATTATTTTCTCATTGGAAAGGCGGATATACAGAGAGGAGAGACAGAGAGGAAGATCTTCCATCCGATGATTCACTCCCCAAGTGAGCGCAACGGGCCGATACTATGCCGATCCGAAGCCAGGAGCCTCTTCCGGGTCTCCCACGCAGGTGCAGGGTCCCAAAGCCTTGGGCCGTCCTCGACTGCTTTCCCGGGCCACAGGCAGGGAGCTGGAAGGGAAGCGGGGCTGCCGGGATTAGAACCGGCGCCCATATGGGATCCCGGGCGTGCAAGGCGAGGACCTTAACCACTTGCGCCACCGCGCCGGGCCCGGTTACATCTTTTCTGATGGATTGGGACAGGAGGGTAAGCATGACAAGTCCTTAGTTGTCTGAGTGCTTTTTTTTTTTTTTTTCACAAGGTGAATACCAGGTGCATTCGGAAAAGCTCCACCTGCTTGGTAGTGATGCTGCTGTAAATGCCCTAAAATGCCCAGGGTAGGAAGCTGTCCTACAAATCCCCAGCTTTCCTTAAAAAGGTGTTTTGCACCTGCTTTTTAATTCTACAGGTTCACATCAGAGAGTAAAATAGCAGGCTGACTCATTTCCCACCTTTTTCTTAATCCTTTTCCTCAGAGGTGCTAATGTAACCTAATGGTCATTTTTTTGGTTGTCACAGCAAGATGCCTCAAAATTTATTTTATATTCATTGCTACTTCAAAAGTAAGACTGTGTTATTCAAGCCTTATTAAAGGAGCACATTTATTCCTTTATCAAGGATACACACACACACACACTATACACAAAAATTACTTATTTGAAAGGCAGATTTTCAGAGAGAAAGAATCGTCAATCTACTGGTTTACTCCCCAAATCGCCACAATGGCCAGAGCTGAGTCAATCCAAAGCCAGGAGCCAGAGCTTCTTCCAGGTCTCCCACATGGATTCAGGGGCCCAAGGACTTGGACCATCTTCTGCTGCTTTCCTAGAACATAAACCGAGAGCTGGATGGGAAGTGGAGCAGGTGAGACTCGAACCTCTGCCTGTATGGGATGCCAACATTTGCAAGTGGTGGATTAGCCAATTGAGCCATGGTATGGGGCTCACAATATTTAGCATTACTATCACATCATCAGCTTATTTCCTTTTTTCAGAACATTAAAACTCAGCAGTTTTGAAAGATAAATTATTATTAAATATGTTTGCCATGTTTTGTAAGAGATCATAAAGATTATGATTTTAAATTGGATTATTTTTCTCTATTGTATACTAATAAGATATAGATAAAATCTGGATGACAGATGATTTTAAAATACATTATTGTATGCATTAACTTTTCACTTTCTTCATGCTGTTACTTGAAATGTAAGTTTATAATTTTGATGAAGTCCAAATTTTTCTTTTTGGTGTTTTTACTTATGGTGCCATTAACTAAGAGACCAACCTAATTCAAGGTCATGAAGATATATCTATATATTTCCTACCAATATTGTTGTATTTCTAGCTCTTAGACTTTAAATATATTTTGAGTTAATTTTGGTGTGTGGTGTGAGGTAGGATTTCAGCTTCATTATTTTACATGTTGAGAGTCAGTTGTTCCAGAACTATTTAGTGATTTCAAAAACTATTTCTCACCCTTAATTTTTTTTTAAAGATTCATTGATTTATTTGAAAGGCAAAGTGATGGAGAGAGAGAGAGAGAAAGAGTAAGTGAGCTGGGCCAGACTGAAGCCAGGTTTCCTATATGGGTGGTAGGGCCCCAAGCACTTGAGACTTCTTCCATTCTTTCTTGGGTCCATTAGGAGGAGACCGGATGGTGAGTGGAGCATATGGGACAGGGACTGGTGCTCGTATCAGACACTTAGCTTTCTTTTTTTTTTTTCCCTCTCATTTCCCACGATGCAGTTTTATAGGTTTAGGGATTTCCCTCCTGCCTTTCCTCCTTCTCTCCGATTTCCCCTTCCACCATGTTCTCCATACGATTTCAATAGTGTAGTCCTTTAGTAACATTTACATGTTTAACGGTCTGCTATAAAGTGTATCATGGTATTGTAGTTATGAGAAATGGTGGAAAATCTACTGTCAAAATGTTAAGGTATATTAAACAGTCTCAGTAGGAGTTCTCCTTTCATTCAGGGGTAGAGATGCATACTGCAACATTGTCTTCACTTCCCAGTAGGCAACCTTCAAACAGAATGTAAAACAAATAGATGTATATGTGAACTCTGACTTGTCACTGTCACCACCTCAAGTTTTTTGTTCTTTTTATAGCAGCTTTGTTGGAAATCAATTGTAAATCTGAAAGTTTATTTCTGAATTCTTAACTGTCTTTCATTGGGGTGGAGAATGTCTGTACTGTGGGCTGTGTAAGACTCCACAAAATAATTTGCTCTTGGGCCCGGTGCAGTAGCCTAATGGCTAAAGTCCTCGCCTTGCACATGCTGGGATCCCATATGGGCGCCAGTTCTAATCTCGGCTGCTCCACTTCCCATCCAGCTCCCTGCTTGTGGCCTGGGAAGGCAGTCGAGGACGGCCCAAAGCCTTGGGACCCTGCACCCGCGTGGGAGACCTGGAGGAGGCTCCTGGCTCCTGGCTTTGGATTGGTGAAATAGCCATGCAGATGGATATAATCTCCAGATTTTGAAGACATAACAAATGATGGTGAATTTATGCCATTTATTTTCCCTCTGAGATTCCCCAGGTTAAATTTTTTAAAAGATTTATTTATTTTTTATTGCAAAGTCAGATGTACAGAGAGGAGAGACAGAGAGGAAGATCTTACGTCTGATGATTCACTCCCTAAGCAGCCACAAAAGCTGGAGCTGCGCCGATCCAAAGCCAGGAGCCTGGAGCCTCTTCCAGATTTCCCATGCCAGTGCAAGGTCCCAAGGCTTTGGGCTGTCCTCAAGTACTTTCCCAGGCCACAAGGAGGGAGTGGGATGGGAAGCAGGACAGCTGGGAGCCCATATGGGATCCTGTTGCTTGCAAGGCGAGGACTTTAGCCACTGAGCTACTGCGCTGTACCCTCCCTGGATTAAATTTAACCCATTAGAATTCAAAGTGATTCAGTTGGGGAGTCCTCCAAGAAATCTCACCTGGGGTGACTTCAGAGTTGACTCTTTGTTGTTGTTAATTTACTTTTTGATGATGTTTACATAGTTGATTAGGGTGGGAAGGGTCAAGGATTAGGGGAAAGTGGATGAGACCATTATTTCCAATTTTTCTTTTTCTTCTTCCTGTATCTGGGGGACACCAGATTTCATCTAAGGGTCCCTGATGCTCCAAATGTTCTGCTCAAGTGGTTTTGATTGTTCTGAAATGCTGTTAATTTTGCCGATCCAAGGATGAGGAAATTCTTCCAAGGTCCATTGGCTGACATAGTCCACCTTAGAGTCTCCATTCCCCTAGATATTTGTTGTCAACACTTAGCTGGCAGAATTGGTCAGTATATTCTGCACTCCTTCCTCTGCTATGGTCCTGGATGTGCTCTGCAGGCCCTGATGAACGGTCATACTCCATGTGCATCTGGGCAGCTGTCCACTGCTCTACCTAAGCCACTGATGATGCTCTGTTCTGACAGATGCACCTTGTGGTCAGATCAAAAATCCGGTGATTTTCACCGTGGTTGGAACTCTTGAGTGCAACAGTTCAGTTGTGGGGATCCCCAAAGGAACCTCATCAGAGGTGATCCAGGATCTGACTCGTGTGTGCCAGCCAGTT